TATAGCCTAGATAGTTTATTTTTGATTCCATGAATCTACACTTATCTAAACGCAGCTCTAATTTATTATTTACTAATCTGTCGAACACTTCTGTCAAAATTTGTAAATGTTCGTCAGCAGATTTCGTGGCGATCATTATATCATCCAAATATATCGCTATTTTTCCTGTTCTGATCAAATCGTCAAAAACTTGGTTCACAAAACGTTGGAAAACCGAAGGTGCATTTCTTAACCCGAAAGGCATTTTTAAAAATTCAAACTGTCCTAATGGAGTTACGAAAGCAGTATATTTAATAGAATCCTCACTCATATGCACGTGATAAAAAGCACTCTTTAAATCTAACAATGAAAATAAAGTTTTACCCGCCAGTCGATCAAGTAAATCGTCGATTAATGGTAGTGGATAGTTATCTTTCAATATGGCTTTGTTCAAAGTTCTGAAATCTACACAAAGTCGGGTAGCACCTGTTTTCTTTTTAATCAGAACAATAGGAGATGCATATTCTGAATTACTAGGCCTCACAACTTTTTTTCTCATTAACTCGTCAATAATTGACTCTACTTGTTGCTTTTCGTGATATGATAGCCTACGTGGGTGGTATTGGAAGGGTTTATCATCATTTAAAATTAATTTCATTTCGCACTTTATCTTAGGTTCATCTGGACGTTTGCGGTTTACATAATCTTCATACAACATATTAAATTTCTTTCTAGTATTGTAGTCAACATCACTATTATTAACACTAATCTCATGAATTGGTTCATAGTATTCAATATTCATTAAATCGTTAATAGTATTTTCATCACAATCTTTATTTTTTGATTAAAATTAATTAACTGCTCAGTTTGATCATGTTGTATTACTAATTTTAATTTAGCTTTCTTCAAAAAATCTCTTCCTAATAGAACTGGGTAACTCATTGTTTCATTAGCTACTATGAATAATTTAAGATTTATTTTTTTATTATAATATAAAACTGTGCACACTATTTGTCCAAGTATTTGTAAATGACTTTTGTTTATACCACAAAAATTTAAAATGTTACATTTTTTTTGTTTTATTAACTTAACAAGTGGCACGAACTGTTGCCGTATAAAACTGATTGGACTACCAGTGTCAATTAATGATTCTAATAAAAGTGAATGATCAATATTTGAATAATTAAAACTAAATTCTACATTTCTTACGTATTCGTTATCACCCTCAACAGCGTCGGCATAATGAACTTGCGTTTTCCTCATTGAGCAGTCAGCTGCTCGATGTCCCATTTGCGCACAAACGTAACACGCCCTCGGCTCCCGCTTTGGTTTACGACATTCAGCTGCAACATACCCAAGAGAGTTGCAATTATAGAAACGAGTCGATGCAGAAACCACAAAATCGGCTGAGGTTGGTGTTTCATTCGAAGTGCTCTGGCGAACAGTCAATGATTGTTTCAACGTTGCTGGTTTTGGAAGGCTTATTTTGTGGAACGCTTCCAACAGTTGGTACTTGTCACGGAAACATTGTAATTTAGCTTGTGAGCATAGACCATAGTCAGGAATCCCCTCCACAATGTACTCCAGCAGCTCAGTTTCGTCAATGCACAACTTACCCGCGAGAATGGTCTTATCGTAAAAATATTCTTCAAAAGTCTCATTTGTTTGCCACCTTCTGGCTTCAAATGTACGTTTCAGCTGCAGTTTCGTTGAGTGATCTTCAAACAGTTTCCCCATATCGTTTATTAGGTTTTCGATTGGTACTGTCATTAAATCATTTCTTGTTTGTAGCCACTTTAACGCTTTTCCGTTGAGTTTGTTAGAAATAAGTGCTCTGATATTATTATCATCCAGTTTATAAGCCGTTCGAATACTTTGTAATTGTGCTTCCCAAAGCTGAAAGTTGTCACCAGTTCCAGAAAATTCTGACAGCAATTTTTTTATAGTTGAAAACTTAACTTCATTATTTAACGCATAATCTTTTATTTCATTTTGTTGACTTTCTTTTTTTAATGTTTTATTTTCTCTGATTAATATTTCTTTTTCTCGTCTTTCTATGTTTAGCTCTCGTTTCAACACTTTGAGCTCCCATTTCAAAAGTTCATTTTCGTTCTCCTTTAACGAATTTACTTGTACAGCAGAGACACTATTATTATTTTCTTCTCGCTCAATATTTGTATTCATAACACTCATTCGACTCATATTCGCTGTCATTTGTTCTGTTATCATTTGTTTCTGACTTACAATTTCACTCATTTGATTCTTCTTTTTATGTGTTTGTATAATTTGTTGTTCCTCAAGAATATGATTCTCATCTTCTTCAGAGTTACTATTGTTGTTGTTTGCGCATGCATCGGCGTTGGCGCCAACATGTTCCGTAAGCGTCACATCATTTAATATTTTTGTCGTTTTTCCTAGAAAAACACCACGGCGTTCCTCAGGTATTTGAATTAATCGGCGGATTAATTCGTTTTTATTACCACTTGTTTTACATCCAAGCTCCTCCAACCAAGCTTTTAATTTAACTAACACTTCGTTCAATAATGTGTGTTACTGACACATAGATGGCGGCACTAATACTAAATAAATATTTTTTTTCGAAAGTGGCAACCTTTTTAGGCTTACTGTCAAAATCATATGTTAATTCGATCATTTCTTTACAAGTTACAGTGCTTTAAGTGAAGCTGCTTTTGAGTTTTGAAAAAAAAATGAATTCAAAGCAATTCCGTGTGCTGATTAATCATTGTTTTTTAATGAAAAAAAATATTGTTCAGTGCCAGGAATGGCTTGGAAAACATTATTTGGACTCTGCTCCATCAAAAAGAAGCATTTGTTATTGGTATGCCGAATTCAAACATTCCATCTACATTCCATGACATTCCATCTACTGGACGGTCAAATGACGCTGTTATTATATTGAGGGATATTGCTGACATTCTTCAGATATCAGCAGGCAGTGTACACACCATAATACACGAACATTTGGATATGAAAAAGGTGTTTTCCAAATGGGTGCCGCGTATCGATGATTCAAAGAGCTGTTTGGACATGTTTACGAGCAATAAGTCGAAGTTTTTGCGTCGGTACATCACGATGGATGAAACCTGGATCCACCATTTCCCTCCAGAGTCAAATCGGCAGTCTGTTGAGTGGCATGCAGTCGGTGAAAGCCGCCCAAAGCAACCAAAGACGCAGCAGTTGGCTGGCAAGGTTATGGCGTCTGTATTTTGGGATGCGCATGGAATAATATTCATCCACTATCTCCAGGAGGGGAAGACCATCAACAGCGACTATTATATAGCGTTATTGGAGCGTTTGAAAGACGAAATCGCAAAGAAACGGCCTCATATGGCGAAGAAAACAGTTTTGTTTCACCATGACAATGCACCGTGTCACAAGTCGATGAAAACGATGGCAAAATTGAACGAATTGAGCTACGAATTGCTGCCGCACCCACCGAATTCTCCAGATCTAGCCCTCAGCGACTACTGGCTCTTCGCAGATCTCAAAAAGATGCTCCGTGGTAAGAGATTTGGCTCAAATGATGAAGTAATCGCAGAAACTAACGCCTATTTTGAAGGCAAAGAAAAATCGTTTTAAAAAGACGGTATCGAAAAATTGCATAAGCGTTGGAATGATTGTGTCTCCCTAAAAGGGGACTATGTTCATGAATACAAACGAATTTTAGCAAAAAAATGTGTTTTAATTAGTTAGTCACACACATTATTGATCGAAGTGTTAAAGTATAAAGCTGAAATTTTTTGATGTCAGACATTTTATTAATGCTGAGTAATCCCACTTCTGATATTTTAAACAATAGTTATTCTTTATTTTTAGCTCATTTCAGTTTTTTACTCTTCTCGTACAATGCTTAACTATAACTGACTCGTTTCATACTACCATATATATCAAAAACTATGTGTCACTTTTAATTTAGCGTTGCCACAGTTTTAAACTCAATTCTGATTTCAGCAGCAGAAAACACCACCCCTAAAGACAATAAAGTACTTACAAATAGTGATCTCCGCATCGATCTCTGCGATCTCCGCATCATATATGATTTCCTGATTAATCCTGAAAACTGTATCAACTGCACTCCTACCTTCACTCCAGTTTCCATTTTCCGTACTTTTGCTGTAAAGGAACACATTATACCGGCAGCTTCGAATGTCAAAGCGT